AAAAATAACGACTTTATTCCACATTTTCGTCTCTACTGTACAGTACCACGCTGCCACACGCAAGCGTCATGATAATGTGGAATAAAGTTGTTATTTTTGTTTTCTTTGCGCAAAAAAGTATTCTCGTAGCTTTGTAACTTTACAGTTGAACCACTGATGTCACACGGACTACTTTGTCGATCATCTTGGTACTTTTCTGGACCTTGAACGTGGTAGTTACCTTGCTGTCTATGGGAGGGTCAGAGAGCCCTCAGATTTCATCAAAAATATCTTCAATTGTGTTCCGAAGATGAACGAAGGTCTTACGGGTTTGGAACGACACGAGGGTGAGTAATTAATGACATAATTTTCATTTATGGGTGAACTAACCCTTTAAAGTACACGATTACCTTTACCTTTAAATGTTTAAGCTGTGTGTTTAACCTTGCAGACTACTTTTTTACAGGAAGAATAGTCAGTGTTGTTCAACTTAAAATGAGTAGTTGAAAAATGTCTCGCAGTTAGCTACAATTTAATGTGAAAACAAAATATTCTTTATAGGGTTCAAATCTGGACTCTGGCCAGGCCATTTCTGAAGGAATGGCTTGTTTAGGGGAACATCTGCTTAATTCTTACTAATTTCTTAGTAAGTAATTTGTGGTTAAGATCATTAAAAGCTTAGCATAATGAAACTTACCAGTAATTTGTGGTTAAGATCATTAAAAGCTTAGCATAATGAAACTTACCAGTAATTTGTGGTTAAGATCATTACAAGCTTAGCATAATGATTTCTGAAGGATCGTGTGACACTGAAGACTGGAGTAAAGATGCTGAAAATTCAGCTTTGCACCACTTTCCAAATTTCCAGGTTTTTTTATGACCATGTAAAATATGTATCAAGAAAATTACATCAAGATTCTTGAGTCAAACTGTCTTTTGAAGTTGTAAATCAACACTCATAAAAAAATGTTTTTTATTATTTTTTTCTCTTCTAGACATTCTTCTGTCACTTTGACGTCTGGTCCATTCCATGGATGAAGACAATGTCAACTACATATTTTAAATGCCGTTCAAATGATATATTCTGAAAATGGTTTTTCACCTGAAATGTCATGCTAATTTAATACCAAACTGAATGTGAAAATAAAGTAAGCCGCAGTGCAGTGATTGGATATCATGTACAGTGACCTTCAGTTCATCAGATGCTGAGCTTGTGTTGACTCCGACTCCGAGTGTAAATTATTCAGTGAGCTTCTCTGATGTGCAGAAGCAGCTTTACGCACCTACAGTAGATCACAGCTTCAATCTCTCAGCTCCCTGGCCTCTTTTCCTTTGAGCCGCAGATCTTATGAGCAAACTGGCCCTATAGAAAGACACCAGCACTGATCACACACACATCTATAGGGTTTGTATGAACAGATTTATTGATTTTTTTGACTACTCATTTACTTTTGTTATTGGAAATGTGCATGACATACTTGTCCTAGATTCATAACTCCATATGGCCATTAGGCGTGTACAAGCATCCAATGGGACAGAGGTTCTCAACCGGATTTGTTTCAGAAGCCAGATTTGGAGTGGACATGAAGCAGTGATCATACAAGAGTGACAAAATTGTCAAAAATGAAATGCTTTTATATTAAACCATTCATCGATGTACATTTGAAAATGTAATTGTTAGAATATATATTTTAATGTTTAATGAAACAACACAACATTAGTCTGAACTTTAGTTTAAGCATTATATTATATTTTTATGTAACGCATTCAAATGCTTATCCACAACAAATTAGTTTGAGATCAAACAACCAACAAGTTCAAGACACAAAATCGTACTTTTATCAGAAGTTTTAATTCAGTGCAACTTACACGGACTTGTTTAATTGTTTAAACTACAGAAAATGTACTCACTCGCAGGCTATCCATGACGTAGACGAGTTTGTTTCTTCATCAGAACAGATTTGTAGTAATTTAGCGTTACATCACTTGCTCACCACTGGATCCTCTGCAGTGAATGGGTGCCGTCAGAATGAGAGTCCAAACAGTTGATAAAAACATCACAATAATCCACACCACTCCAGTGCATCAGTTAATGTCTTGTGAAGTGAAAAACTGTTTGTGTAAGAAACAAATCCATCATAAAGGCATTTTAACTTCAAACCATCGCTTCCAGCCAAAACACCAATCCATAATAACGCTTCCTCCAAGTCCATGTCCCACCCACATATTTGTTTAAAACTGTTTTGGACTGGTTGTGAAAGCTTGATCTGTGCAGATTTCTCTTCTGATTCAGACGAGACAACTTTTTCACTGGAGAAAACAATATTATGGATCAATGACTACTTTAGCCAGAAGCAGAATTTGAAGTTTGAACGTCTTGATGGATTTGCTTAGTTTTTCGCTTCCCAAAACATTAATTAATGGACTAGAGTGGTGTGGATTATTGTGGTGTTTTTTTATCAGCTCTCATTCTGACGGCACCCATTCACTGCAGAGGATCCATTGATGAGCAAGTGATGTAATGCTACATTTCTCCAGATCTGATGAAGAAACAAGCTCAGCTACATCTTGGACGTCCTTCGCTTCCAGCCAAAACACCAATCCATAATCACGCTTCCTCCAAGTCCATGTCCCACCCACATATTTGTTTAAAACTGTTTTAGACTGGTTGTGAAAGCTTGATCTGTGCAGATTTCTCTTCTGATTCAGACGAGACAACTTTTTCACTGGAGAAAACAATATTATGGATCAATGACTACTTTAGCCAGAAGCAGAATTTGAAGTTTGAACGTCTTGATGGATTTGCTTAGTTTTTCGCTTCCCAAAACATTAATTAATGGACTAGAGTGGTGTGGATTATTGTGGTGTTTTTTTATCAGCTCTCATTCTGACGGCACCCATTCACTGCAGAGGATCCATTGATGAGCAAGTGATGTAATGCTACATTTCTCCAGATCTGATGAAGAAACAAGCTCAGCTACATCTTGGACGTCCTGCCGGTAAATTTTCAGGAAATTTCCGTGAACTATTCCTTTAATCCAATTTATTTTGCTTTCCCAACTACGCAAGATTAACTGATTCAATTCATTTATTATTTCCATTTAGCACGGTTCTTTTTTCCTCGCTGTTGTCCCACAAAGTGGGCCACAATCCACCTCAACGGACCACTGTTGCTGTATATGACATTATTGCTGATAATTCTTATAGACATCATTTAAATATGAACACACATATACTTGTGTAAAGGTGTGGTAAATATTATAAAGCCAGCAGCATTTATCTCATTTCAGCAACATATACAAATAATGATGATGACACATAAGAACAAAATTAATACATTCAACCAACTCAATTAAAAATAAACCAAAACATTTTTAAAGCCAGAGATAATTATAGCTGTGTGTTTCAGGAGATTCATAATGAAATGAAAAAACCCTTTCACTTCCCCCAAACAGCATCTCTATGCTGCCACTCACAGAAATTATTATTGTTTTTACCAGTCGACCTGTTTCGTATCACAGATGTTGGCAGCTCTATTTTAAGAGCCAGACGATATTCGGTGCAAATAAAACTAGTACAGAAACTGCATCATTTCTGTCACAAGGGGGAGAAACAAAAATAGTAATGGCACATCTTTTAATTTAAAAAACAGCCTGCCAGAGAGCTTATTACGCTAAAAAAAAAAAGTCGCCCACATGGGTTAATGGAACAAAAATAGAGGCGTCTGTCAGAGCTAAATGAAGAGAATGGTAATCAAATGAAGGGACTGTGTTTGTTCAGTGTTGACTGTAATATGGAAGATATTAATAAGTGTTGTTGATGTTTGCCAATGTTAATTGCTTGGAAATCTGTTAGTTTGGAAGCCAGGGTGAAATGACTCGAGTGGAGCATCTGTTAGGCTCGTGATGGGTTTCACACTTTGCTCAGATCCAGCTTGCACAGATACGGCGAGCGGAAGGAGCCCAGGTACAGGTGGCCGTTGTACTCGTGCGCCTCGCTGATGTAGGCCGCCACCATGCCGTGTGGGTCGTGGAAGCTGCGCACGCACGTCCCTCCGTCCTGCAGCTCCACCACCAGACTGTAGCGCGGCACGAACTTCAACAGAGTATCTTGACTGAAGAGCTGAAAGCACACAAAACGTGGAGAAGCACATTCATTTTAGTAATATATATGCAGTAGAAATGTGTAAAAACACACTTTAAATAAACATTGACTGTATAAATGTCTGTCTATTTGTCATTTTGAAATGTGATTTATTTTACTGTTACATTTAACACAAACGACTAAAACATCTACTGCATGAATGTCAGTTTGAAACGTTATGTAAATGTTATTTTACTGTTACGTTTAACTACATTTTAAACAAACATTGACTGTACAAATGTCTACAGTGCCGTGAAAAGGTTTTTGCCCCCTTTCTGTTTTTTTACATTTTTTGCATATTTGTCACACTTAAAAGATTCAGATCATCAAACCAATTTTAATATTACACAAAGATAATGCAAGTAAATACAAAATGCAGTTTTGAAATAATGATTTAATTTATTAAGGGAAAAAAGTTGTCCAAACCTACCTGGCCCTATGTGGAAAAAATAATTCCCCCCCCCCTCCTGTTAAATCATGAATGAACTGTGATTAACCACATTATTTTAAAAAGCTGAGTTAAATTTCACTAGCCACACGCAGGCCTGATTACTGCCAGACCTGTTGAATCAAGAAATCACTTAAATAGAACCTGTCTGACAAAGTGAAGCATGCTTAAAGAGCAACACATCATGCCGCGATCTAAAGAAATTCAAGAACAGATGAGAAACAAAATAGTTGACATGTATCAGTCTGGAAAGGGTTATGAAGTCATTTCTAAGGCTTTGGGACTCCAGCGAACCACGGTCAGAGCCATTATCCACAAATGGAGAAAACGTGGAACAGTGGTGAACCTTCCCAGGAGTGGCCAGCCTACCAAAATTACTCCAAGAGCGCAACGACGACTCATCCAGGAGGTCATAAAAGAACTAGGGATGCACCATATTGGATTTTTGCCGATATCCAATATGCCGATAATTTTCAACTCATTTTGGCCGATAGCCGATATATAATTATTTTTAATTTTGCTTCGTTTTTAACAAGAACTTATTTGTTAGAATTAAATAAACAACAATAAAGTTCTTTTATAATGACAGTACATTGAAGATTTGAAAATGACTATAAATAAACTATATATAAAATCACAGCATTTTTTTTTCCCAGAAAGATGCAGTGGTAACCTTAACATTTTATTTTAAGATTTAACATTTGTAGATGGCCTAAAGCAAAAGAGTTGTAAAAATTTAGAAAATCTTTTAGAGCTCATAATTTGTTTTTAAATCAAAACATACTCATGATTTTATGCCATCAATTACTGCTTTATTTAATCTGAAACAGTCTAAATATTATTTGTGTATTTTGCTTTCATTTTATTAGAAGTAGGCCAACAGCGCCCCCTACGGAATTAAAAATCCTTACCGAACGGAGGCTGCCGCTGCACGTGCCATTACTGTTTACTCTATCATACACCGAACACGTCATTCTGTTAATCACTAGCACACCCTGAGCACATGTGAGTTAATGTACTGTATTCCTCTTATCTGCAAGACATATTGGCATAATTTTTCATATCCGGCGATGCCGATATTTACATCGGCCATTCCGATATTAGTCCGATAATATCGTGCATCCCTAAAAAGAACCCAGAACAACATCTAAAAAACTGCAGGCCTCACTTGCCTCAATTAAGGTCAGTGTTCATGATTCAACAATAAGAAAGAGACTGGGCAAAAACGGCATCCATGGGAGAGTTTCAAGGCAAAGGCCACTGCTGACCAAAAACAACACAAAGGCTTGTCTCACATTTGCCAAAAAATATCTTGTTTATCCCCAAGACTAGATTAAGGGGGCAATTACTTTTTCATGTAGTGCCAGGTAGGTTTGGACAGCACTTGTCCCTTAATAAATAACATAATTATTTCAAAACTGCATTTTGTATTTACTCGGGTTATCTTTGTGTAATATTAAAATTGGTTTGATGATCTGAATCTTTTAAGTGTGACAAATATGCAAAAAATTAAAAAAACAGGAAGGGGGCAAAAACCTTTTCACGGCACTGTATTTATTTGTCTATTTGAAAAGTGATTAATTTTGCCGATACATTTAACTGCATTTTAAACATAGCTGAAATAAACAGCTATAAATGTCTATTTATTTGTCCATTTGAAGTGATTTATTTATTTATTATATATTATTTTACCGTTACATTTAACTATATTGTTAAACAATTTAAATAAATGGCTGTACATTTTGATTTAGTTCTCTATTTAAAAAAGTATGTATTGTTTTATTTTACTGTTATTTATTTTTTCTACTGTTCTAAACATTTAGCTACATTTTAAACAATTTAAATAAACAGCTATAAACGTCTATTTATGTCTTTTTGAAATGTGATTTATTTCAGTTACATTTAATTCAAATATCAATTTTTGTCAATTTGAAAAGTGTAGTTTTGTATTTTGCTGTTACATTTACTCCAATTTAAACTATTTAATAAACATCTACTGTATAAATGTCTATTTATTTGTTATTTTACTGTTATATAAAAAAATAGTAAAATATTGAAATAAAAATCTATACATATTTTATAGATTTAAATAGAATTTGTCATTTGAAAAGTTATTACATAATGTTTTTAAAAATTAGAAAAATAAATCAAATAATAATCATTCATAATTATACCTTAAATATGAGCTTCTTTAACCAGGGTCTTTGAGACAGGAAGTCAAGCATGGAGAAGCCAGGGTTGGGTCGCACAGCGGACATGGCAACCCAGTATCCACCTGAAGAACTGCGTCGAATGTTGTCAGGAAATCCCGGAAGGTTGTCTATAAATGTATCCATACCTCCTTTATTAAGACCAGACACATGA